GGTGCCCAATGCATCTGATGCCCTTAGGGCCCATGCAACTAAATATGGAATACTTGGGCCTCAAAGTACTTCGATATAGGGACTTTGGGGCCCAAGTATCATAGTAAGGTACATAAACCCTTAGATTTTTAGCCCAAACCCTAAATCCAAAGCCCCAAAGTCCACGAAGCCCTCGGAACCCTAAATTACTAAACCCTCAACTCTATAAACCCTGCGTAGACCCTAAACCCTGTAAAACCTCAACACTAAACCCTACGTAGACCGTAAACCCTAAACGCCAAACCCAAACCCCAAACCCCAAACCCTAAACCCTGTCAACCCTAGGAACCCTAGGAAACCTGAAAACCCTAGGAACGAACGCTAAAAACCCTAGGAACCCTAGAACCCTAGAAACCCTAGGAACCCTAAGAACCCTAACCCCGAAGGCACCTGCTGAGTACCATCTCAGCAGCCTTCGTCGGAGAGTGGCATCCAGCTCGGCCTGGGGTGGGTTTGAGGCTTTAGGGTTTGGGGTTCAAGGTTTAGGGCTTAAGGGTCTTGGTTTAGGGTCTAAAAGTTTAGGGTCTATAGGGTGTAGGGTTCTAGTGGGTTTAAGGGTTTTAGGGTTTTAGGTTCATGGTTTAGGGTGGGTTTTAAGGATTTTGAGGTGTTGGGGGAGCCCCAAAACTCGAACACCCTAAGCCCTCGAGCTGAAAAAGCCCAGAGCCCGAAACCTGAGGACCTGAGGTCCTGATGACCCTAAACCCTAAACCCTGAAAAATTATCCTAAACCCTAAACCCTAAACCCTAAACCCCAAACCCATAGACCCAAAACCTCCCCCGCTCCTCGAGTACCCGTTAAGGTCAGGGGACCCAGGAACTCCCACACAGATTACGTGTCGAACAGCGGGGAGCTTAGGGTTAGGGTTTCTAGGGTCTAGGGTCTAGAGTCCAGGGTCTAGGGTCTATAGGGTTTAGGGTTAGGGTTTATAAGGTTTAGGGTTGCGGGAATCAGAGCTCATAAGGCTCAGGGTTACGACATTGAGCGTTCAGGGCTTCTCAACTTCTGGGGGGTTTGAGGGTATAAAGGGTTTTCATACTTTCCCAGAGAGCCCATCGTAGTCTCATGATGGAATTCGGTACCGCCCAAATCCAGGAGGGTTTTCTGGTACAAAAACCGACGTCTTCCGGTCTTCCTTCAGATCGTGCACCGGCGTACTGTAGACGTACTCAAGCACGGGTTCTATAATGACGCCACGTGAGGCGGCCCAAGACCACACCGGCGACTGTCCTGGTCCGCGTGAAGCTGTGTTGCCACAGCCTTCTCGTCTAGCTTCGTCTGCATCATGCTGCCTCAAAACCAAGCGCTGGAGAGCCTTTTGACTATATATTAATATATATATATATATATATACTGCCGAAATTATATTAATTTCAAAACCCAAATTAAGCAAATGACGTCGCGCTAAATATGAAACGCGAAATTAGTGACGTCGCGCTTAATTTCAAAATTGAAATTAAGGACGTCGCGCTTAATTTCGTTTCCGAAATTAAGCCTGCCCTGAACTCACTCAAACCCTGCAACAACCTATTAAAAGGAGACCTGGGCCACCCTGAAACAACCCAACAACGACCCTGAAACAACCCTCAACGAGCCTGTCTGCAGCCCAAACCCCAATGTCAAGCCGACTTGGGAACAACCTAAGCCCTGTACCCCAAACCTTGCCCCAAACCCTGAAAAGACCCTATCTGGGCCAGATAGGGTTTTTTTTGAGTCTATCTGGCCAAATAGGGCCGACGTAAAGCCAAACCACATATTTCAGGGCGACCTGGGCTAACCCAAACTCCAGAACGCGAAACCAAAGCCAAAACCCCAGATAAAAGCCAATAAAAGCAAGCCAAACCTAAAACTCTCAGCCCTGCCCTAAACTCACTCAAACCCTGCAACAACCTGTTAAAAGGAGACCTGGGCCACCCTGAAACAACCCAACAACGACCCTGAAACAACCCTCAACGAGCCTGTCTGCAGCCCAAACCCCAATGTCAAGCCGACTTGGGAACAACCTAAGCCCTGTACCCCAAACCTTGCCCCAAACCCTGAAAAAACCCTATCTGGGCCAGATAGGGTTTTTTTTGAGTCTATCTGGCCAAATAGGGCCGACGTAAAGCCAAACCACATATTTCAGGGCGACCTGGGCTAACCCAAACTCCAGAACGCGAAACCAAAGCCAAAACCCCAGATAAAAGCCAATAAAAGCAAGCCAAACCTAAAACTCTCAGCCCTGCCCTAAACTCACTCAAACCCTGCAACAACCTGTTAAAAGGAGACCTGGGCCACCCTGAAACAACCCAACAACGACCCTGAAACAACCCTACAGGGGACGGGCCAGTTTTTTGCTCAAAAAAGCCCTATCTGGGCCAGATAGGGTTTTTTTGCTCAAAAAAACCCTATCTGGGCCAGATAGGGTTTTTTTGCTCAAAAAAGCCCTATCTGGGCCAGATAGGGTTTTTGAAGCCAATTGCAAGCCCCCAGGAGGGGTGGGCGGCGCGGGGGAGGGGAGAGGGGGGGCAGGGAAGGGGACGGGCCAGGCCAGATAGGTTTTTTTGCTCAAAAACACCCTATCTGAGCCAGATAGGGTTTTTTTGCTCCCAAAAACGGCTTTTGAAGCAATTCCAAGCCCCAAACCCAACCAGGAGGGGTGGGGGGAGGGGACGGGCCGGTTTTTTGCTCAACATAGGTTTTTTTTTGCTCAAAAAAACCCTATCTGGGCCAGATAGGGTTTTTTTGCTCCAAAACCCCTCTCTGGGCCTAGACAGGGTAAGGGAAGCCAATTCCAAGCCCCAAACCCAACCAGGAGGGTCGGGGGTCGCAGGGAGGGGAGAGGGGGGGCAGGGAAGGGGACGGGCCAGTTTTTTGCTCAAAAAAACCCTATCTGGACCAGATAGGGTTTTTTTGCTCAAAAAAGCCCTATCTGGGCCAGATAGGGTTTTTTTTGCTCCGAAAAACCCTATCTGGGGGCCAGCTAGGGTTTTTAAAGCTCAAAAAAGGCAGCCATACCCGATTCCAAGCCCCAAATCCTTAAACCCAACCCAAAACACCAAAACTCTAGCCGAGAAGCTGGTGGAAAGCAAGCCAGGCACCCAAAACCCGAAAACCTAAACCTCAAAAGTCGGCTCGGGAAGGCCTTGTGTTTGAGTGTTTGTGGAGGGCCTTAGGTCCTACAGCTTCTTGGTGCCAAACCAGGTCCTTAATTTGGCTTAATTTCGGATTTCTGACGTCACTAATTTGGCGCTAATTTCAAAATGACGTCGCTGACGTCACTATAATTTGTACAGATATATATATATAGATATATACATGTGACGAAACCTTAAGAAAAAAAGCGCGCACGCCCTGTAGTCATGGACCCTCTGAAAATTCTTGGGGTTTAATGCTTGAGGCTCTGAAACCCACCAGAGGCCCGGCCTCTGCAGCGTCGAGCGACTCCAGTAGCACAGGGGAGAGCAGTAGGGCTTCCAGGCCCTGCAGATTTAGGGTTAGGGTTTAGGGTTTAGGGTTTAGGGTTTAGGGTTTAGGGTTTAGGGTTTAGGGTTTAGGGTTTAGGGTTTAGGGTTTAGGGTTAGCAAAGGCTTGAAAGACAACACGCCCTGAGCCCGCAATGCTCCTTATAAGGGCATTTTAGGGAGTGCGGTTGTTTTATTATTTTTTTTTTTTTTTTTGGGGGGGGGTTCTTAAGTAGATAGTAGTTAAGCAGGATGTAAGCACAATAGGTCGGGCTACTCGCTGAGCCTTCTGAGCTATGATTCTTCGGTTCCCCAAAACAAGCCCGCATATAATGTCATGCGACAGTCATGGTGACCATACTTTGTGGCCGTACTTTGGAAATAGAAGTAGCCCTAATTAAGCCCTAAACCCTACACCCCAAACCCTAAACGCTGAAGCCTCCGAAAGCATGCTGCATCTCGGAGGCATCAAAATCACAACAGCCCCAAATACGTGCGGCTTGACGACCGGTTTAGGGAGGGTTTAGGGTTTACGGTTTATGTACAACAAAAACCTGCAGGGGCTGTTCGAAAGAACCGTAGAAGATTTCAACCCTGTGCTGCTACGTCGCAGCGAACTCTTGTGCAAGTCAGGAAGGTTACACTCAGCCTATGCCACACACGCTGAATCCTTAAACCCCCAACCCTGAACCACCTTTCTAAAGCACCCTAAACCCTAAACCCTAAACCCTAAACCCTAAACCCTAAACCCTAAACCCTAAACCCTAAACCCTAAACCCTAAACCCTAAACCCTAAACCCTAAACCCTAAACCCTAAACCCTAAACCCAAGAAACCCTAAACGTTCAAGTGCTTTAGGTTTTGGGGTTTCGGGTGTCCGGTAGCTGGCTCCAGGAGCTCTCCCCAAACTTAAACCTGCCGCCCCCCTACACATAGAGAGCCGGGCACCCAAAACCCCAGAAGTAGGTCCAGGGTTTGGGGCAAGTTCGGGGCCTTAAGGCCCTAAACCCCCAAACCCGTAGTACCCCCCCCCCCCACCCCCATTTTTAACGCCCCGAAGACATTGTATGCCCTGGAACCCTAAACCTGAACCCTAACGCGACAACGCCTTGGTAAAGAGCGTGGGGAACACCCCCCACGATTGCCAGCATCTGAGAACCTGCAGGCAGCTTGGGTTAGTTAGGGCTTCGAATTCTAAGGGTTTGGGTTTCAAGGTCCCCCCCCCCAACCTCCCGTACACAGTATATAACTCTACCCGTGCGGCTCTATTTTGGGAGGCCCATGGAATGCCAAAAGTAGGTAGTGGCGTTCACATATGTTAAACCCACAGTCACAAGCTACGATCCTCAAGCAACGATCGGAAGAGACATCTGCTTCAAAGGCGCAAGACGGTGGACACTTCTAGATTTCCGAAGGCCATGGCAAAACGATTTCAAGGCTTACACCACCCCATACTTGCGCCCCTAGACCCTAAAGCCATCAACCGCCCAAAACCCCAAAGAGGCGCGCGTGCCTCTTTCACTCGGCGCTCGGCATCATTCCGCTTGGAGAGGGTCTGCGCGACCAGGGCAGGGCCTAAGCCCTAAGCCATAAGCCCTAAACCCTAAACCCTAAACCCTAAACCCTAAACCCTAAGCCCTAAACCCTAAACCCTAAACCCTACACCCTCTAGTTGGTATAGTCGCCGGCGCGGGGGCTCTTTTTTCTTAATGTCATGGGATCCTTTTCGGGGGTTTCCGAGAATAAGTCGGGTACCCTTGAAGGGGACTCTATTCTGTTTGTGGGTATAAAAGGGGTACCCCTATTTCGGCAAATGCCCGTACAACACGAACTCCTCCCCCATGCCACGCCAAACTCGAAAGGAAGAACATAACCCTAAACCCTAAACCCTAAACCCTAAACCGCGGCTCGTTTCGGGAACCACAGCACCTGGCATAAGGTGTGGGGAGAAGTGGCTTCACAGGAGCCCTAAACCCTAAACCCTAAACCCTAAACCCTAAACCCTAAACCCTAAACCCTAAACCCTAAACCCTAAACCCTAAACCCTAAACCTGGCATTAGAGAAGTTGCTTTGAAGTAGATGAATAGTAGCCCTAAACCCTAAACCCCAAACCCTCAACCCTCACCCCTCACCCCTCAACCCTAAACCCAAAACCCTCAACCCTATTTATGTAAATTGATTTTCTGCGCCTCAATCCTCCGCAGCCAGCAGCGGCCAAAAGCCTGCTTGCCATACAGGGCTTATAGGGCTTATAGGGCTTAGGGTTTAGGGTCTAGGGTGGTGTTGAGTTGTTTAAGCTTTGGGGTTTAGAAGGGTTTTGGGGATTGCAGGAACCTTGGGGGGAGGCGTTGGGCTTGCGAACGGCTGTGTGGGCTTAGGCTGGGTATTACCTGTTCCGCCGCAGGCCTTGGGTTTGCGTTTCTTCCGTTAAGGTTTATCAGGTTATAGGGTTTAGGGTTTGTAACACTTCTAGGAATCATCTTCGGCCCCCGAGGCAGGCATAAGAGCAAAAACAAGGCTTGGCAGTGTACGTCCTGCACGACACGACGTTTCGGGCTTAGAAGTTCAAGGCTTGGGCTAAACCCTAAACCTACCCCGAAGGCTCCTATGTAGGTCCTTTTCGGGTTGGTAGAAAGGGGGTTCTACTCTCCTACCCTAAACAGGTACTACATAGGAGCCTTTAGGGAAACACTGAACCCTAAACCCTTTAGGCAAAACCCTGAGTGGGGAAAATCAGATCTGGCTGTGACAGCTATTCAGCATGTGAACGGGTCGATCGCCTATGACCCGAGCCCAATGTTTTTGCATTGCTTCGGCCGTGCAGACCGGCTTAGGGTTTGGGGTCTATGAAACCCTTAAGCTCAATAAACAGCCCAACGCCCTCAGACCCCACAGTCCCTAAACCCTAAATCCTAAACCCTAAACCCTCCAAGCCCCAGACCCTCAAAACTTCAAAGGCTGCGCACATCCTTTCGCCCCCTGAAGCCTCGAAACCCCAAATTTTCCACCAAACCCTTACTTGGAGGTTCAAGGTACTTACTAACCAATTATAACTGTGCTTATAACCCTCTTTATAGTACCCCTAAAAGGCCTTATAGGGGGTATCCCAATTATAAGTAGGGTTATAAGCCGAGTTATAAGTAGTTATTAAGTCCTATGAACCTCCAAGTACAGCCTGCACAGCTCAACACTTACTTGGAGGTTCAGGGTACTTATAAGCCCAATGATAACTGTACCCCCTAAGTCCCCTAGACCACTAGTAAGTAGGCTATAAGTATACACTTATAAGTGGGGCTATAAGTGTCCATGAACCTCCAAGTAGGCCCCAAACCATAAACCCGAAACCCGTAGGCTTTGAAGCCCGAAGCCCTTGAATCTTCAATGGGTCAGCGCGCTCCTCGCAACCATCCGGGAGCTGCTCCTGGCAAAGGCTTGTAGGGTTTTCAGGGTCGCAAGGTTCGAGTCTTATGGGGGTTTAGGAAAACAAAACGGACCCTCAATATGGAGCCCCAAATACTTTTGTGATAAGGACCCCAATAAGGCACCCTTGATTTCGGAAGCCCCTTTATGAGCTAAGGCTTTCGTTTAGGGTCCAGGACTGGATATTGGCAGGTTTGGGGGGTTAGGACTGAGAGGTCCAGGTTGTATAGCTGCGAGTTCAGGCTTCGGTTCCTTTGCTTCTGTGCTAATGAGGGGGTGTGTGGCGGGGGGGGGGGGGGGGGGGGGTTGGGGGTTGGGGGCGACGTGCCAGGTTGAAGGTCGTTCTGATTGAACTCTGAACAAATGTGTATGTGAGCCTGAAGCTACTCTAATCCTTATAGCCCGATAGTTGCCGAAATTGGTGGTGTACGTTTAAACTCCATGTACACCCCAAACGCCTCAACCTACACCCTCAGGGGACTGTGGAAGATTTTCCTATACCCTGAACCCTAAACCCAAAACCCAACACCCTAAACCCTAGACTGATGAAAAGCTGGGCCCCGCTCCTGCAGCGAGTGGATCAGCGGCAAGGAGCCTGCCGTAAATGCGGAGTCAATGTTTCCTTTTCTAACAATGGTGAGAGTCGTATATCCTTACACAGGTCGATGAATCAGAATTCATGTTAAATGCAGCGCAGACACCAACATACCGCATGTTGCATGAAATTACTCGAATGCTTCCGTATACGCCGCCTATGCGAAGCGCAAAGCGCTCTAGAAAACCTTTGGAGCACTTTTAACTTAGGGTTGCTGTTGGGGCTGTGGGAAACAACAGCTCAGAGTTCCAGAACTTCCGTGTCGTTGCAAACGCAAGTGCCAAAGGGTGTGTATCTTGAGATGTCCCCCCCCCTATACTAACAGTCCTTACTCGGGATAATAACAAGGGTAAGGGTTTAGGGTTTAGGGTTTAGGGTTTAGGGTTTAGGGTTTAGGGTTTAGGGTTTAGGGTTTAGGGTTTAGGGTTTAGGGTTTAGGGTTTAGGGTTTAGTATTTAGGGTTTAGGGTTTAGGGTTTAGGGCTTAGAATACTCACCGCAATACTAAGAATACTCGTAGCACCTGCAGAAACTGCGACAGAGCCATGCTTGCTGCTTGCAGTGTTTGATCGTAGACGATGAGGGGTCCAGCTGGGTCATCTTGCCCAAGCCGAGCTCTGCGCCTTCGGGTTTAGGGTTTAGGGTTTAGGGTTTAGGGTTTAGCGTTTAGGGACTACTACTTGCTTAAGAAACAAAACATACTCTTCCTCATAAGGGCAAGATAGGGGTTCTTGGCTCCTTTTTTCTGGGTTCCTAAGCAAATGGTACACCAACGGGGCCGCTTCTACAGCGCTGCCAGCGATTGGCTGGTCTGCTACAAGTACAGCCATGACCCCGAAGGCCCCCAAAACCATCTAGGTTTAGGGTTAGGGTTTAGGGTTTAGGGTCTAGGGTCTTCAGGGTTCAGGGTTCAGGGTTTAGGGTTCAGGGTTTAGGGTTTAGGGTTTAGGGTTTTGGGGTTAGGGTTTAGGGTTGAGGGTTGAGGGTTTAGGGTTCGGATTAGGGCTCTCTCTACTTTCAAACCCGAAGGAAACCCTTTTGCGGTACGTGCACCCACCTTCGGAGCCCCTACAACCGACTGTCCCTAAGGATCCATGTACGTATATGGTATATGCTTGGCCCCTAAAGCTGCTATATTAGGAACCCCCCTCAAGGCCAGAGTAGATGCTATTACTGCTATTATGGTCATTTCCAAAAATAGGGGCACCCCTTTGATCCCCCCAAAAAGAATAGAATCCCCTAAACCCTAAACCCTAAACCCTAAATCCCCGCTAAACCCAATATATGCGGAAGCCCCCATATGGGTATATGGATCCTGAGGGCGGGGTACGATGTAGGCCGGTCTTCTACACCAGGGTTGGGTCTGTAAACGCCGGGAAGGTGGGGCGTCGGGTTTAGGGTTTAGGGTTTAGGGTTTAGGGTTTGAACCTCGGGTTTAGGGTTTAGGGTTTAGGGTTTAGGGTTCAGGGTTCAGGGTTTAGGGTTAAACCCTAAACCCTAAACCCTAAACCCTAAACCCTAAACCCTGAACCCTGAACCCTTTTACCCTAAACTCTGGATCCCAGACCCCAAGCTCAACACCCTTCTATAGGGTCCTTAAGGGAGGAGGGTTCATGGGGGCTAGGCACCCAGGGAACCTTACGGATTTAGGGAGGTTTAGGGTATAGGGTTTAGGGTTTAGGGTTTAGAGTTTAGGGTTTAGGGTTTCAGGGTTCAGGGTTTAGGGTTTAGGGTTTAGGGTTAGGGTTTAGGGTTTAGGGCTTGGGGCTTAGGGCTTAGGGTTCTTTGGGGGTAGGAGGGGAGCTTAGGGAGCCTTTGGGAGTAGTGGGGACGATTAGGGAACCTTGCGGCCAACTGGAACAACAAACTAAACCATGTACACAAAACCCGGAAAGCCCTACAAAAACCATCCTAAAACCCTAAAACACGAAAGCATCAAACCCTAAAACGATACAACCATAACTTAAACCCTACAACCCCAAAGCCTCCAAAGCCCTGTAACCTGAAAAGCACGAAAACCCTAAACCCTAAACCCTAAACCCTAAACCCTAAACCCTAAACCCTAAACCCTAAAACACCACTTCCTTGGACCCTTAAGTCGGTGCCCTTGGTTTTAAGATCCCTCTACGGCTATATGAGGGCCATATCAGGAGTACGTATATTTAGAGGAACCTTTTAGGGGTAACCCGAAATCCTAAACCCTAAACCCTAAACCCTAAACCCTAAACCCTAAACCCGAAACCCTAAACCCTAAACCCTAAACCCTAAATTGTATGGTTCGAAGGTGTTCTAAGGTTGTGGGGAACCCGGAGGATCCTTTGGCTACGCATTGCAGACCCTGTGCGAAAAAACACAGGCACCCCCGGGCGGTACTCAAAAGGGCTTTTGGTTTAGGTTTAGGGTTTAGGTTTCGGGTTTAGGTTTCGGGTTTAGGTTTCGGGTTTAGGTTTCGGGTTTAGGTTTCGGGTTTAGGTTTCGGGTTTAGGGTTTAGGGTTAGGGTGTACCTGGGTTTGAAAGTGCACTTTCTGGATGGCGAATTTGATTCCCAGGCATTTGCTGTTGAGGTACGGTCCTTGAATGGTTGCGCAGAAGGCGATGGGTATCTACAGGGCCTATGGGGTATTTGCCTGAAACCCTAAACCCTGACTGGGTCTTAGGGTTTAGGGTTTAGGGTTTAGGTTTAGGGTTTAGGGGGAAGACATTACAACTCTAGCCCCTGAACCCGCAAACCCTAGAATCAAGACACTCTGCCACATTTGTACTTTGTATAACCCAAAACGACCACACAGTTTGGGGTGCTCCCCCCTTATACTAACAGTCCTTAAAAGGGGGGGGGGGTATTTCTACGATCCCTATTAAGGACAAGTTAGTACCTAAACCGGGTTTAGGGTTTAGGGTTTAGGGTCTAGGGATGCTGCCTTAAGGTACCTCCTATATAGGGACTTCGGGGGCCCAAGCACAGACAAAAATGCGGTACTTCATGGACCCTAAGGGTGAACCCTAAACCCTAAACCCTAAACCCTAAACCCTGATTCCTGAACCCTAAACCCTAAGTATAGAAAACATGAGGTACTTTGTGGACCTTTTGGGTCTGAGCTGAACCCACTTCCAGGTTCATGGTACTTATTAACCAATTATAACTGTACGTACAACGCACTTCTAGGTCCCTTCAGTGCCCTAATATGGAAATAATTTGGGTTCTATAAGTACAGTTATAATTGGTTAATAAGTATTTGGGTTATAAGTACAGCTATACTTGGTTAGTAGGTATTTGGGTTATAAGTGCAGTCATAACTGTTCAAGAAGTGCCATGAACCCTAAACCCTAAACCCTAAACCCTAAACCCTAGACCCTAAACCCTAAACCCTAAACCCTCCCTAAACCCTAAACCCTAAACCCTTCAAGCATCCGTGGCCACCTTCTGGAGCCGCGGCCACTGTCGCGTTGCGCAAGACATCACTGATGAGGTAGAACCTGGACGCCAAGAACTGGGGTTTGGGGTGTAGGGTTTAGGGTTTAGGGTTTGGGGTTTGGGGTTTAGGGTTTTGGGGTCTTGGGGTTTAGGGTTGGGTTTAGGGCTTAGGGTGTAGGGTTTAAGTTCTTACTATTTGCTTAAGAAGTCCCCCCCCCCCCACCCCCTGTCTGGCTCATGGATGTTCATGTTTTGCGCATAGCTGGTCGAGGCAAAAACCTACACGGACCACCCGCCGTGGCTCAGGCTATGTAAACTCGTTTACAATAATTTTCGTGGGACACGTGTTCGTGGCTCCTTTGTGAAGACCTGTGTATGCGTACTGAAACGAAGCAAGGACACTGGGTATGGCGTTTGCTTACCTAGCGCGTTTATCTGCGCACCGCCGAACGCCACCTACTCAGATATCCTGGAAGCAGGCACCTCGAAAGCAAACCAAGTGAGTCACGGGGAGCCATAAACCCTAAACCCTAAACCCTACACCCTAAACCCTAAATGCTAAACCCTAAACCCCGACCCCATAATGGGAATTCCCCACGCCGGAAGCTTCTGAGTTCACTTACGGCCAACATTTTTGTTCTCTTGTAAAGCCCCTGGATTGGCCCCCCGTCCCCTCCAACCTCGATGTGCTCTATCTCAACCCCTAGCCCTAAACCCTAAACCCTAAACCCTAAACCCTGAAGCCCACCTAAAAGCCTCCCTAAACCCGGAACCCTAAGACGAAAATCCTACTGCTGAATTTCGAGCCCTACAAACCCTAAACGCCTGAGGAGCAGGCCTACCAAGGCCTTGTCCAAAGCCCAGATTCCTTGCTGGGTTTAGGGTGTAGGGTTTAGGGTTTAGGGTTTAGGGTTTAGGGTTTAGGGTGTTTTCGGCAGGGAGAAGGGCACGACTTAGTCTGGGCTCAACGTCTCACAGGGTCGATTAAAAAGGGTTTTTTGAGCTTCAAGGGTTTAGCCCTTCAGTGAGTTTCAATGGATTGGCCCTTCAGGCTGAATAGGGTTCGCCTAAACCCTAACCCTAGAAAAACCCTAGAAAGCTAGGGTTTCGGGTTTAGGGTTTAGGGCTTAGGCTTTAGGCTCTACGGTTTAGGGTTAGTTGTTTTTTTGTTCTGGAGTTTGGGTTTAGGGTTTAGGGTTTAGGGTTTAGAAGGGTCTGAGGTTAGGATTTGGGTATCGGGGCTTGGGGAGCTTGAGGTGCGATTTTGTGATTCAGTGTCTCGTGCACCTCAGGATCCGCTAGTACTCTTCGAAGAGCAGTTTAGGGCTCAGGGTTCCTAAAGCAAAAGGGCCCATGATTTAGAGACACACGCCCAAAAGATGAAAAGTTGTATGGCCACACCCCAAACTCCTAAAACTCTTCAACCTTCCACACCCCTAACCCCCCTAAGCCTTTAGAACCCAATACCCTCAAACCCTCAAACCCTCAAACCCTCAAACCCTCAAACCCTGAAACCCTGAAACCCTCAAACCCTGAAACCCTCAAACCCCTAAATCCTTGGATCCCAAACCCTACAACCCCAAAACGCCCAAAACCCTAACACCCAAAAACCCCGAAACCCCAAAGCCTTAAAACCTTAAGAACCCAGAACCCTAAAACCCTAAAACGCCGAAAGCCCCAAACCCCCCAAAAAGCCCTAAAGCCCTAAACCCCCCAAAAAACCCTAAAGCCCTAAACCCCCCCAAAAAGCCCTAAAACCCCAAAACCTTAACACCTCTGGAGCCTTCTGAAACCCTAAAACCCTGAAGCCTCAAATCCCCCAAAGCCCTCAAAACCCCAAAACCCTAGCACCTCCACTAAAGCCCTAAAACCCTCAAACCCTATAAGTTGGGATGTCCCCCCTTATACTAACAGCCATCGATTGGGATTCGAGTACTCCCCTATTAAAATCCGTATTAAGGACTGCTAGTATAAGGTGGAAAAAGCCCTAAACCCTAAACCCTAAATCCTAAACCCTAAACCCTATGCCCTTTAAGGCCTATAAACTCCTGGCCAAGGCGCGGCTCTGCCAGCGCAGCCAGCAGTCGCCTCACGCAAGCCCTGAAGCCCCTAAAGCCCCGAGACCCCCCAACGCCTAAACCAACCCAAATCCCTAAAACCCTAAACCCTAAACCCTAAACCCTAAACCCTAAACCCTAAACCCTAAACCCTAAACCCTAAACACACAAACCCTAAACTCCCTAAACCCTAAACCCCGACGCCGCCAAAACCCCCAAAACCCCCCAAAACCCCTAAAACCTAAACCCTAAACCTTAAAACCCCTAGACCCCAAAGCCCTAAACCTCTAAACCCCCTAAACCCTAAACCCAAAATACCCCCTAAACCCTAAACGCAAACCCGCAAAACCCCCCAAAACTCTAAACCCCTGAAGCCCCCTAAGCCCTAACGACACTCTTGCAATCCACAAAACATGTCATGGTGCTGACGTGACAAAGTTTATTTTGGCGACAACAAAGTTTCGTCAGAACATGTCACAGATTGAGCCGTGAGGCAAGAAACGGCCTGAACACGGCCAGGAAAGATATGCGCCTTCACACATCTCATCGACATCTCAGACAGCTCGCTTCTCAACTAACGCGTCCCAACAACTCTTGTTCACTGAGCGTCCTTGCCACCTGTCGAGCTTTACGCAACTTCTTCGTCTGTGTCTTCACTACCTTCGTAAGCGCCTTGGCTTGCACGAAACCCCTAAGCCCCTAATCTCCTGGACCCCTAAGAACCCCTAAAACACCCTAAACCCCTAATCTCCTAAGCCCCTTAGAACCCCTAAAACCCCCTTAACACCCAAATAAAACCCTAAACGCCTCAACCCCAAAAACGACAATAATTCATATATTACCTTTTTTTTTTTTTGTGGGGCGGGGGGGGGGGGTTCTTAAACAAATAGTAGTAAACCCCAAAAACCCCCCCTAAACCCTAAACTCCAAACCCTAAACCCTAAAACCAAAACCCTAAACCCCAAACCCTAAACCCTAAAACCTAAGCCCTAAACCCTGCTAAACCCCCTAAAAGCCTCCGAGGAGCCGAGCCAACAGCGCCCCGTGCGCAGCCGCCAGGTCAAGGCAGGTAGCCATCGCGAGGCCTGGGCTTAGGGTTTAGGGTTTAGGGTTTAGGGTTTAGGGCTTAGGGCTTAGGGTTTAGGGTTTAGGGTTTAGGGTTTAGGGTTTAGGATTTAAAAAATTAGGGGTTAGGGTTTTTTTGGTGGGTAGCACGGCAGCCACCTTCGAGTTTTAATTTTAAGGGTTTTAGGGGTTAATGGTTTAGGGTTTAGGGTTCGTTTTGGGTTTGTCTTGTGTTTGTGTTGGGTTTGTGTTGAAGCCCTAAACCCTAAACCCTAAACCCTAAACCCTAAATCCTAAACCCGAAACCCTAAACCCTAAACCCTAAACCCTGAACCCTAAACCCTCAACCCTAAACGCTAAACCCTAAACCCCAAACCCTCAACCCTCAACCCTTTGCCGCGGCGCCGATGGCAGCCCTGGAGGTGTTGGCGGGCAGCACGGCAGCCACCTTCCAGTTCTAAATCTTTTGGGGGCTTCAGGGGTTAATAAGATTTAGGGTTTTAGGGGTTTCTAAATCTTTAGGTTTTTAGGCAGCTTCAGGGGTTAATAAGATTTTAGGGTTTTAGGGGTTTCTAAATCTTTAGGGTTAATAAGATTTTAGGGTTTTAGGGGTTTCTGAATCTTTAGGGTTTTAGGGGCTTGTAAATGTTTAGGGCTTTAGGGATTTGTAGGGTTTACTTAGGGTTTAAGGGCTTTTTCGAAACCCTATTTTTCACTGTTTTTTTTTTGTTTTTTTCAATTTTTTGGTTTTAGGGTTTTAGGAGGGTTTAGGGTCAAGGGTTTAGTATTAGGGTTTAGGGTTTTAGGGTTTAGGTTTTTTGGGGGTGTAGGGTCTAGGGTTTAGGGTCCAGGGTTGAGAATTAGAGTTGAGGGTGCAAGCATACAGGGTTTCAGGGTTCGGTTTCGGGGTTCAGGGCCTTAGGATCAGGGTATTTGTATCTGAACTGCTTGTGATTTGCAAGGGTTAAGGAATTAGGGATTTGCACTTAGTGTGTTTGCGATTTTGCTAAGCGTTTCAGGGCTTAAGACTATGGTAGTTTGAACTAGGGTCCCTTGTGGGGTCCTTGAGGGTACCGTACTATGCAGGGGACCCAAAAGGGACGTTAATTTGGGAACTACCATACCTGTCTGCAGAGCTTGCGTAGGGTGCTTTAGCATTTGTTCAAGATCCTTGCCTTTTGCTAGGGCTTATAGGGCACGAAGACCTTGCCCATTCCTTCGGGTTGAGGGTTTATAACTTAGAGCCCTAACGCCTAAACCATCAGCAAGCGAAGGGTTGGCTAAGCCACCCCGCAAGCCCGATGTGACATGTCTTGCAGTGAGAGATCTGCCTCATTCGGGTTCAGGGCTTCAAGTGTTAATGTTTGTTTTAGGGCTTCGGGTTACCTTGTTCTGGGGATCTTGAGAATTTTGCGGATCTGCAGGGGTTTAGGTTTTGAGGTTGTTTGAAGGTTTTGGGTTACTGTCTGATGAGGATATTCAGAAGTTTAGGGCTTTCGAGATCTTCAGTGGCCAGTCGCCTGAGAAGCCGGAACGTCGACTTGTCAAGGGCTAAAGAGGGTGTTTATAGGGTTTCTTGGCTTTAGCGGTTTGTAGGGCAAGCTTATGGAGCTTATGCACGGTTTATAGGGTTTGTGGGGGTCTTTAGGGTTTAGGGGTGTGGGTGTAAAGGGCCTGGATTGCCTGCACCCCCGCGAAGGGCTCGGAAGAATGCCCTGAAAGTCGTTCACGCTCGACAAAAACTAGAATCCAAGGAAGTGACATAAAAGCCCTAACCCCTACGCCCTAACTCCGAACCCTAGCTAACCTATTTCTATGAAGGGCCATCATATGGGGTATTGTGGGGGGTCATAGGGCTTTAAGGCTACCCGAGGCAAGCACTAAACCTTATCTCTAAACCCTAAACCCTAAACCCAAAAACCCTAAAAACCCTAAAAACCTAAACCCTAAACCCTAAACCCCATAAACCCTAAACCCCCCCCGTCTCCCCCCAACCACAGGAGCCCGAAGAAACGCTCCCGCCTGCTGCCAGGCTAGCGTCCCAACCGCATCCGGGGCCTCGTCAGGCTCTTGCTGCTTGCTTTATGCTTCGACCGTGTAGACCCTAAATACCGTAAACCCTAAACCCTAAACCCTAGACCCTAAACCCTAAACCCTAAACCCCAAACCTAAATCCTAAACCCTAAACCCTAAACCGCCCAACACAGGTCTCTACCGCCGAGGCGCCGCAAAGCCCTGTTCCGGCGGCCGGTCTCGCAGCACCTCGGCTCTGGGTTATAAGGGTTAGGGTTTAGGGTTTACAGGGTTTAGGGTTTATAGGGTTTATAGGGTTTATAGGGTTTATAGGATTTATAGGGTCTATAGGGTTTGTATGGTTTAGGGTTTGGCCCTATCGTATAGGGGCCTTAACAACTAGAATAGGGTTCAGGGGGGTTATTCTAGTATATGTTTCAGGGGACCATCATCGGGATGCGCTTAGAAATAATTCGACCCCTATATCGTCCGGTTCGGGGTTGTAGGCGTGCTCAGAAAAAAAACAGGGTTCAGGGCGATCAGGGTTTATAAGCCTGCATCTGTTGGGGTTTAGGTCTAGAATTTTGGTCTAATAGACGCTGTTGGTGGAGGGGGGGGGGGGGGTGACTTGTTAAGGTTTTTGGGGATTGTGCGACTGGTGGGGGCGGGCGGTGGAAGATCTGGGGCTTCGGGAACATGGAGCTTGGCTGAAACCCTAAACCCTAAACCCAACCCTAAACCCTAAACCCTAAACCCTAAGGGTGCAGCTCCCTACACCGCTCCCCAGGTAGCTCCCCCCAAACCCTAAACCCCAAACCCCCCGTCCTAACAGACAACAGCTCACACACGCGCAGAAGAAAGGCACCACCCAGGCGTCTCCGTCGCCTGTGGGGAGCAAGTCGAAGTGCTGCTGGCATTGCGCCTCCCAAGGGGAGAGTGGATTCGAAATCTTTGGGGGACAAGGTGAACCCTACAGGGTGTCACTTGGCTTAGGGCTGAACACAAAGAATCCCTGAACCCTGAACCCTAAACATCTCAAAGCACCATCGGCCTGTGTCAGTCGATACTTGGATTGGAGAACAAGAAGCCGCTCCTTCCTTTGCAGGGGGGGTTTTGAGCGATATCTGTGCAGTTGAGGGCTTCGGGCTTAGAGTTTGCGTTTTAGGGCTCACATTGTTCGGGCTTTGGTTTTCTGGGGAGCCCAAAAGAGTTTGTGGATCATATATATATATATAAATGGAATTCATTTCGTCCGACGAGACATAGCATTGGACTCGTAGCAGAGGTCGGTTCGTTTCTTGCCAGTATCTCCCAAAGATATACACTTACCAGCATTTATAAGGAACCATAAATCATTCACCGATAAAAAACAGAAATGTGCCATATATAGATATAGATATATGTATATGTATATATATATGTATATATATATATACACGTATGTATACATATATATATATATGAAACCCCAAGATCTGGTTGTCTCAATACACTATGAACCTCGAACGCTTACAAAAGCCAGTAACCCCGTCGACCGACTTGGCTTGTGGGACAGGCTGCCTGTCGAAAGCCCTGAAACCTGAAACCCCTACACCCTAAATCCCAAACCCTAAACCCTAAACCCTGAACCCTGAACCCTGAACCCTGAAACCCTACACCCTAAATCCCAAACCCGAAACCCTAAGCCCTAGTCTCCAACTAAGCCAAGAGGCCCTCCTGCCTTGCGGAGCTGGGCCTAGCGCATAGGCGCAACGGAGGGAGGGTCGAGGACGGCGCTTTGGGGGCTTCGGAGGTTTAGGTTGTAGGGTTTAGGGCTGAGGGGTGCAGGGTCTAGGGGGTGGGGATCGAGGGTTGCGGGTTCAGGAGGGGCGCAACGGAGGGAGCACTGCCTCGAACCGCGTAGATGCCAGAAATAGCAAGGCGCCCTAAAACCCTGAGACCCCTTAACCCTACACCCGAAACCCTACACCGAAAACCTAAGCTCTACCTAGGACCCTGTTTCCCTACGGTTTAGTAGGAAGTACCCCCCCCCCCCCTATTTAGTAGGCAAAACCCCTTAGAACCGTAGGTAAAAAAGGGTCCCAGGTAAACAATGTCAGGCTTGAGGGCTTCGGGTGCAGCACATGCTCCCGCGCGGATTGGAGAGCTCGCTTGAAGTGCAGGCCTTGAAGATTTTGAGGGTTTAGGGTTTAGGGCTGCAGGGTTTAACTCAGAAGCATGCCAGGCTCCCAAAAGCTTAAGTTGAAATGAGGGCCATGAAAGTGAGGTGGGGCAAACCTATAGACGCAAAAACGCCCAAAGCCCCTACAAAACCCTTAGACGCTTCAGCCGTTTTGAGCCCCAACGCCACATTGGGGAAAAAAACCTACAGCAACCCAATGAGCCCAAACTCCGCCATATCAAATGAACCCCTAAAACCCTCTGAAGCCCTTAAAAGCCTAAACTCTAAACCCTCGGTAAACCCTACACCCTCAACCCGAAACCCCCTCAAACCCCTTAAACAACTCCCCCTTGAACTTGGAACGTACCAGCTGTGGCCTGGTCCAGCAGCACCCCCTAAGACAACCCCCGTAAATAACCGCCCTTCAACCACCCCCTTAAACCCCCTTATATGCCCCTTAAACCCCTAAACCCTAAACCCTGACCACCTAAACCCTAAACCCTAAACCCTAAACCCTAAACCCTAAACCCTAAACCCTAAACCCTAAACCCCTCAAGCCCCAAAACCAACCCGGGGCCTGCACAGCTGCCAGGAGGTCCGGCCGCAAAGCCGCGGAGGCCGCGTGCGAGAGCGCCTGGCAAGGTTTAGGGCTTAGGGCTTAGGGCTTAGGGCTTAGGGCTTAGGGTTTAGGGTTTAGGGTTTAGGGTTTAGGGTTTAGGGTTTAGGGTTTAGAGTTTAGGGTTTAGGGTTTAGGGTTTAGGGGTGAGGGTTTAGGGTTTAGGGTTTTAGGGTGTGCTTAAAAGGGTTTAGGGTTCACACTTTTTGAGGGTTTATGTGGTACCCAGGGTACGGGCGCTCCAAGCCCAGAGCTGTTTTGGGGGCTTACGGTTTAGGGCTTTTGGGCTTTTGGGCTTTTGGGCTTTTTGGGCTTTTTGGCTTTTGGGGTTTAGGGTTTAGGGTTGTCAATTAAGGGTTTTAGGGTTTCAAGGGTTTAAGGGTCGTGGGGTTTTAGGGTTTAAGGGTCTTAGGGTTTGAGGGTTTGAGGGTTTTCGGGCTTCAGATAGGGGTTTTGGGGGTGTCAGGTTTGGGTCTTTCTGAGAGGTAAGGTTTAGGGCTTCACATGGAGTTTGGGGTTGAGGTTTGAGGGGGATTACGTATATAGGTTTCCAGACTTGGGGCTTCTAGTTAACAGGGTTTCTAGGGGATGCGAGTCTATTGATTTTGGGGTGTATGGGGTTAGTTAGGGCTTTTAGGGGTTGAAGGGTCTTGAGTGAAGGTATGAAAGGCGCCCCCGCCCCACGAAACAAACAAGAGCCTTTTAGAGTTTAGGGCTAGGCCTTAAGGGACCCCCATAAAACCCCTAAAAAGCCTACATTCATTAGGACGTAAGGCCTCGCAGCAGTAGGGCCCTGGGTGCCCTAGCCCGAAGACCCACCTGCAACCCCTAAACCCTAAACCCGACAAGCGATTTTGTTTGGTTTAGGGGTAGAAGATCCTCACTGCTTCATATAACCCACAGAATTAATACAAACAAATCTGGCGCCTTAGGCTAGTAGAGTTGAAAGTGCCAATCCCAAGCTTTGGCTTCAGGGTTCAGGGTTCATGGGCTGGTTCAGGGATATGGTTGAGGGTTTCAGGGTTTCATGGGTTGAGGGGTTGAGGGCTGCCCCGTCCTTTCGCGCAGGCAGCGGGACACCTAGCAAGCAAAGCGGCAAGTTCTCAGCCCAAAGGCCAGAGCCTTAGACCACTCACCTTTAGGGTCTAATGGGGTAAGCCTGCTCCCTCAAACGCGATGCCCCAAGCCCTCAACTTTCAACTTGAAAGAGCCCTAAAGCCCATAAGGCCTCATCCCTAAGCCCTATAGGGTAGAACAGTGATTTCGGGTCACCAAAGGGCACCATAAAACCACAGTAAACCTATAAGCCCTCAACCCTGCAATACCTTCCCACAGTTTAAAGGAATTGGCTTGCTACCTCCTTGTTGAAACTCAGAACCCACCCCAGTGAAAAAAAAAAACAAAGGCAAGATGAGCCTGCATCCCCCCGGACTTCTTAGCATCTATATCTTGTAGTGATGGGGTTCAGTTCCCCATAGCGGGAGCATTTCGGGCTTGTCGGGGTCTTCGCCAATGATTGGCCAGAACTCCAATTCCTAAACCCTATAAACCCTAAACCCCTAAACTCCTAAACTCTATTGTCACTTGTCAGGGCAGGGCTAGGGTGGGGATAAGCTCAGGAGCCTAATCCCTATAGAACCTGTGTGAACCTTGAGGACCAAATGAACCCTAAAAGCGTATATGGCTCATATACCTTAAGAGGAAGTATAGTAGTATAGGGTATATGACCCCAATTTGCGGGTTCATGTGGTTTCCTAAACCCTAAACCCTAAACCCTAAACCCTAAACCTTAAACCCTAAAACCTATTATAAACCCTAAACCCTATACCCTAAACCCTAATCCCTAAACCCCAAACCCTGAACCCTTCCCCCTCCCACCCCCAACTCCCAACCCCCGCCATTTTGCCGCCTTCCGATGCCGCGGCGCGCCCAGCGGCGCTGATGGCGGCGGCAGCTGCCGCAACCGCGGTAAAGTGGGTCCTCGAAGCTTGTTTACCCTCTAAGGGGCCATGTACCTAAATAGGGTTGAGGGTTTAGGGTTTAGGGTTTAGGGCTATGGTTATCCCTCAGGGTCCATGTACCTAAAAAGGGAATACTTGGGCCTTAACGTACTTCCTTTTCTAGGGACTTTGGGGCCCAAGTATACAATCATGAGGTACATGGACAGTTCGGGCACCCTTCAAACCCTCTGAAAAATATTCCTCAAGATGGTCCTCTATGAGGGAAAATAGAACATATACCAAGGGCCTACCCAATTAGGGCTTATTGTGGTTATTCCGGCTTCTGGGTTTTTCCAGGGGATTTGGGCTAATGAGGCTCCCAGGGTTTCAGGGCTCATGTTCTAGGATGGCGGGTCTTACAGGGAGATGCTCCCCCATAGCCATAAGCATGGGGATCCGAGCCCATGAGGTGACGTAGCACTGAGTTCAGAGCACCGTGCTGCATGCATCTGCTGTAGCGATGTAAGCCCTTGCACTCTCTGCCCTTAGCCTCATCTTCCTAGCAGTCGAAGGCCTGAAGAACTATGTGATTTTCTGCCCAACCCGGGTCCAAAAACCCGACGCAATTCTGTTACCTCAATACCAAACATCGTGAACCGGTCAGAACGTCCGGTACTCGACCCTTTGTTCAGAGCAGGCGGCGTGGCGGGTCTGTCGTCCTTGGACAGCATGCATATAGGCGTGTCACAGCAAGTGCAGTTGTATAGTGGCTGAGGAACCTTGGGCGCAGACTACTAATTGCAAGCTCCGCCCTCCTTTGCCTCAGGGCTTGCCCGTTTGAAGTTGGGTTGGGGAGGGGATAGGTTGGGGCGTGCGGGTGACAAGCGTCCATTCCTAGTTTAAAACGTGCCTAAGGCACTGGCCCATGTTCGTTTCTACCCCTTCGTACACAGTCTAGGACACAAAGATGCTTGATGTTTCCGGAACAATGGCGTTGTCACAAGCGCCCAATGCCAAATTCAAACTTAAAAAAAAACACTGTTTGCTAGGTTGGAGTTTGAGGCTTTTAAAAAACATATTCGTATACACATATACATATATATAGGGTCTCTAAACCCTAAACTACCCTAAACCCTAAACCCATAAAGACCCACAGAAAGGAAGACATGAATATCCCGAAAACCCAACCTAGTTTACACATACTAGTCATGCTTCAGTGCTTCGCTACTCAACAGCGTTTTTTGAGGTTTCTTGAACCAAGGTTTAGGGTTTAGGGTTTCGGGTTTAGGCGAGCGCAGTCTCAAAAGGTCCAGCTCCTTACTGCTGGTTAGCAGGGAATGAGGGAATTATGGGCCCATATATTTATATATTATAAACGACTTGAAGGGGTTATATAGCGTACCTCATTCCCCCATTCCCTACTAACCAACAGTACGGCTCTAAGTCCCAAGTGTGCCATCCGAACGTGGAAAGCAAAGTCGTTTTAGGGGTGCTGAACACAAGCAGGTTAACAACGCCGCCCACGTGGTGGCTGACAAAAGGTGCATGAACACAAGGGAGCTAAAGCGGCGCGACCCAGTAGTTACTAGTTTGGTGTTTGGGGTTGATGTTGGTTTGTGTAGATTGAGGTATCCACATGCCTTTTCGTCGCAACAGCCGACATGCTATGTTCGCGAACTGCTGGCACTTGAGACAACACCCGTCCGTACATCCACATTCCGCGTTGAGCTTTGGTAACCCTAAACCCTAGGGTTTAACCCTAAACCCTAAACCCTCACCCGAAACCCTAAACCCCAAGAACCTCGTCCTGAACCCTCACATCCTAGAAGAGATCTGCATGCCCACCTGCCTGCAGGGCTGGCAGCGAGACGCCAGGCTGGAGCCAAATTCCTCAGTGGTTTGGGAAGTTAATCACAAGACAAACTCCCAACTTCCCTTTATAGGGTTTAGGGTTTAGGGTTTAGAGTTTTGGGTTTAGGGTTTAGGCTGTAGGGTTGAGGGCTCAGGGTTTGCTAGCGGAAAGTCTCACATGGTATTCCAGATGCAGTACCGTAAACACACCTTAAGAAGTTCTACTATTGAGGAGGTTTCCCTGAACTTGCACTCATTGTGTTTGAGCAAGAATCTGCATGCCGCTGGATGCTCGCAGATCAGCTCGGCCTCCACTACTTCAGCAAGTCACATGCGCTGAAAATCAACGGTTTGGGGGAAGGTCGTGAGTTTGCGGTCTCGAAGTTCCAAAGGAACTCTCTCCTGCTTCTTGCCCGCTGCAAGAAGCAAAGCTACAGCCTGGGTTGCAAAGCGTGTCTGGCACACCGCCACAAGACCGAAAGCCTCGCAGACCAATGACTTGAGCTCTCCACACGATGACAGGCCAGCCAAGTCGAATGACTTCCTCTTCCCAGACACCAGCGCGACAGCGAGGCCCTCTTTCAGAAGCTCTCACTCCCTGAATAGGGGCTACCGGATGAATCCGGGTTACTCTTATTGGGGGGCGTTGCGGGGGGGGGGGGGGGGGGGGGGTACCCCTCTTTGGGAAATGCTCATGTTCCTCAGCCCTACAAGGCCAACACAAAGCCCTAAACCCCCAGCCCTAAACCTTGCAACCTGACCCCTGACCCTGAAGCCCTGCTACCCTGAACTGCACCCCCGAAACCAAAACCTTACAACCCTAGCACCCTAAAACTGCCCCAAATCCTAAACGTTCAAACCCTAAACCCCAAAACCCTGCTACCCCAAACTTCTTCAAACCCTAAAACACTAAAGCTGCTGGCCTCACGGCCCCAAGACCCTTGAGCCTTCTAATGTTTGTAGGGTTCAGGGTGTAGGGTTGGTTCAAGGTTCAGGGGTTAGGGTAGGGTTTAGGGTCTAGTGTCAGGCCAACAAGACCTGAACTGCACAGAGCAAGCAGCCCGAAAACCGTTTAGAACAACAAGAGAAAAAGCACAAACCCATAAAGCCCTTAAAGCCCTGTTGAAACCCCAAAGCCCTTAAAAACACAAATGATAATATAATACCCCGAGGTTCCCCGAAGGGTCCCTGCACCTCATTATTCTATACTTGGGCCCCAAAGTGCCTATTTTGGAGGTACTTCAAGGCCCAAGTATTCCCTCTTGAGCTTGAGGGTACCGGGACCCTTAGGGCAAAGGGTGCTTAAAAGGGCTTTGGGTTCAAGGTTTAGGAATTTTGTTTGGGCGGGAGTCCCAGTGTGTACTAAGGGGAATCTCGAGTCGCTCCCTGTGTCTTATAAGCCCTAAACCCTCAACCCTAAGCCCTGTAGGGTTTAGGGTTTAGCGTTTAGGGTTTAGGGTTTAGGGTTTAGGGTTTAGGGTTTAGGGTCCCTAAACCCTCAACCCTAAACCCTAAACCCTAAACCCTTAGCCCCCAAATCAGTGCCTCTATAGAGCCCCACAAGAGTCCCCCCAAAAAAATAGTGCCAGGCGTCGAGGTTCCGGCTCCGGAGAGACCTGCTTTCGAAGTGTTTCCAGGGTTTCGGGTTCAGGGTTCAGGTTCAGGGTTTAGGGTTCAGGGTTTGGGGTTTAGGGTTTCGGATTGAGTATCCGGTTTGAAAGTTCGGGCTTTTGAGGGGCTTTTCGGGTTGAGGGTTGGGGTTTGCGGTTTAGGGTTTAGGGTTTGGGGTTTAGGTCTAAGGGTTTGGGGCTTGGGGTTGGGGTTTGATTAGATCCCAGAGTTGCCCTAGGCATCAAAGGGTACCCTTCTCTTCTAGTTTGAAAGGGGGTAAGGCGGGTAGAGGAGCCTAAGCCCTAAACCCTAAACCCTAAACCCTAAACCCTAAACCCTAAACCCTAAACCCTATAAAGCCTAAACCCTAAACCCTAAGCCCTAAACGTGAACAAGGATCTTTTGGAAGCCAAAGATCTGGAGACCAACTGAAGCCGAAAATTGCGGGGGAGGAGGGGGGTTTAGGGTTTAGGGTTTAGGGTTTAGGGTTTAGGGTTTAGGGTTTAGGGGGGGGGGGGGGGGGGGGGGATGTCATTATCCTCTACTACTTTAAACACCATTTCGAATACATGAGCCATAAACCCCTTTTTAGGGTTCATTTGGCCCCCGAGGAGTATGTAGGTTGTAGAATATAATTTAGGATAACACAACTTGGGGCACTAAAAACAGGCTTGGGCTTTGGGCTTTAGGGCATTGTGGAGGGCTGAAGTGCAGCAAACGTGTCCCGTATAAATATGCGATGGCCCGGGGCAGGAGCTTCCTTTGAGGGTCAGCCCCACAACCGCCCAACCTCAAACCATGAACCCTAAAAAGCCTAAACCCTAAAACCCTAAAACACTAAAACCCTAAATCCCGAAAACCCGCAAAGCCCGGTTATTCGTAGGCTCATGTTTCATTCGACAAATTCGTTCTTGACCCCGGCCGCAAAAAACAGAGCATGAGCCCTTATTATGTATAGTGTATATCAAGGCTATATATCAAGGGACCCAAATTAAGGGCCCATACTTCGGATCCCCGAAAAACAGGAACTAGCATGGCCAGTCCTAAAATTGGGGCCATGTGCCCTGTACTACAAAAACTCCTCTTGAACCAGAATCCCTTTAAGCCCCCCTCCCCTCCCCTCCCCTCCCCTCCACGCCCCCCCGTAGACAATAAACCCTCAAAGCCCTAAACCCTATATTAAACCCTAGAACCGGAAACTCCTCATGGCCAGTCTTGGGCCGGCGCTTGGAAGATCTGGGGCCGCTCCAAGAGGACCTTTCGAAGGCTCGAGAGGCGAAACAAACTCGTTTGGCGTTTTTAGGGTTTAGGGTTTAGGGTTAGAGGGTTAGAGGGTTAGAGGGTTTAGGTTGAGGGTTTTGAAGGGCTTTAGAGGGATTAGAGAGGGTGTCAGGTTTGAGGTTCAGGGTTTTGAGAGGCTTAGGGTTTAGGGTTTTGAGGGGAGGGTTTTTTTCAGGGTTTAGAGGGATGTAGGGTTTAGGGTTGAGGTTTTACAGGGTTCAGGGTTTGGGGCTTGGGGTTTTGTGTTTTTGGAGATTAGGTTTGAGGGTTTCGAGTTTAGGGGTTAGGGCTTTGGATTCGGGTTTCAGGGTTTGGGGAGTCGTGCGGTTGAGAGTGGCTTCGCTGGACTGGCGTGTGTAAAGAGCTCTGGGCATCAAATGGTTAGGGCTTAGGGCCTATACGGCTCAACCATGGAAACAGGGACTCGCACCTGGCTGCGAATGTTTATCGCAAAACGCCTAAAGCCTAAACAATAAACTCTTCAACCCATAACCCTTAGACCCTTAAACCCTTAAATCTTCGGGAGCCCCCAAGTATGCAAAAGAAAATCCAAAACCCAAAAACATGGATCATGATGTTGCATTTGGGGGGGGGGGGGGGGGGCTTAGGCAAGTGGCAACCATGTTCTGATAAAAGGCACCTTTTTTGGGTTTGCTGACTTAGAAGAGGGACCCTGAAAAAAAAAAAGGGGCTGCCAGGGCTTCAGGTTGGCTGCTTTGTGCTTGAGAGGCGTTAGGGTTGAGATTTTAAAGGGCTGATGGGGTTTTATAGGTTTGAAGAGCTCCAACACCTGAGGACAATTTTTTACCCAGATTCTTGGGCTTGAAGGAAAGGGGTGTGGGAGTAAGGGTCTAGAAGCTATAGACCCCAAACTCTTCGGGTAGTTTACATGGGTCCTTAATATGGGCCCTCCAAAAGGGTATCCCTTATATACCCTATACAAATTCAGGGACCATTCATCAGAACTCTGTAAGGGAGGCCAGGGACCATGTTCAGGGCCCATGAAGCTACCCCCTAAACCCTAGCAACACAAGGGCACCCTTTTTTGATTTGAATAGGGTGGGTCTCGGGCCTGCAGCCTGCACCGCACATTGTCCCGACTTTCGGGACAGGAACCCTAAGCCCTGATGAAAACCCCTAAACATCCTAATCCCTGAACACCAAACCCTGCAGTAAATAACAAACCCTAAACCCTACACTTTATAGGCACGAAAACCTTTATAAACCCTGAACGGCAGGGGGGGGGTCGAGTAAACATCACGTTCCCTGTCGGGTGCGCATCGTCCTGGGCTTTTCTAAGGAAAGTTCCATGGTCCCTGAATGGTCCCTTGCCTGCTTTAAAGGGTTCTGAAGTGTGGGCCCTTAATTTCTATACAAGGAGTACGTACCTTTTTACGGGCCCATATGAAGGGGGCCACGTAGCTATCCTTCGAGCTTTGACTTGTTGACCCTGCGATACCCTAGCCGGGGGTAGGGTTCAGGGTTTAGGTTTTAGGGTTTAGGGTTTAGGGTTTAGGGCTTAGGGCTCAGGGTTCAGGGTTTACGGCTTAGGGTTGAGGCTTTAGGGTTTAGGGTCTAGGGTTTAGGGTGTTGGGGCTTCCCGGGGCCTGCCACATCTGAGTCGCGGGACCCACGGCCCGCGCCCGCTGTAGGGCCGTCCACTGGCACTGGACTGCCGGGTGGGCAGCCACCTGCTATTTTGGGTCATCTAGGGTTTAGGGTTTAGGGTTTAGGGTTTGGGGTTTAGGGTTTGGGGTTTGGGGTTTGGGGTTTAGGGTTTATAGGGCTCATGGTGACGAACTGGGCGTTTTATTTGGTATCTCTAAAAAGGGCACCCAAAGTAATACACCCGCCAATATGTACAAAGAACCCTAAATATATGCTCACCGAAAGCAATCATAAACACAAACACGCTACCTAGGGGGGGGGGGGGGGGGGTGCGCCGATCGACCTGATGTGTCCTCTGTGGTTTAGGGTTTAGGGTTTAGGGTTTAGGGTTTAGGGTTTAGGGTTGGGCAAACCATTCCCCAAACCCCAAACCCTTTTCGCCGGCCTTCCTCAGCAGCATTGGCTGAGAGTGGCGCTCAAGGCAGGTCGCGACAGCTTTGCAGAGCGAGCTGAACCTCGTTTAGGGTTTAGGGTTTCGAGTTGAGGGTTGAGAGTTTAAGGTCTTAGGGTCTTAAGGCTTCAGGCTTGAGGCTTGGGGTTAAGGGTTGCAGGGTTTAGGGTGCGGGTCATGGGGTAAAGGGCTGCAGCGTTTAGGGTTGCAGGATTTAGGGTTGCAAGGTTTAGGGTTTCGGGTTTAGGGCTCAGGGGTGTGGAGAGTGGGTCTTGAGGATATTCATGGGCTTTAGGTTTGGGTTCAAAGCTCAGGGTTTAGGGGGCAAAGGTTCACCTCGGGGACCAGGTGCCCCCGAAGGGTTTATGGCTCATATGTCTTGAAATCGGCACTACCGTAGCATAGGGTGCATGACCCTCTAAACCCTAAACCCTATAAACCCTAAACCCTAAACCCTAAACCCTAAACCCTAAACCTTAAACCTTAAACCTAACCCAGTACGATCGATTTTTAGGCTTCATTTCGTGCCCAAAGGCACAGAGTTTAGGATCCCTAGGGCTGAGGGTTTAGGGTTTAGGGTTTAGGGCTAGGGTCTGGGGTCAAGGCTTTGGGAAAAATTGGGCCCTTGGGTTTCGGGCCCTGTTACAGGGGGCCAATGCCAAGCCTCATGGAGTTGCCATGTCTGGGGCTTCAGTAGGGTTTAGGGTTTAGGGGTTTAGGGGTTTAGGGCTTAGGGTTTCGGGATTAGGGCTTAGGGTTTAATTAGGGGTTTAGGGTTTAGGGTTTAGGGTTAGGGCTGAGAGGTTCACGATGACCTGGGGGTCCCATGCCGAGATGCACATCGCCGCCGTTTCTGGCCGCGTGCTGCAGAGCTGCTGGATCCGGCGGTTCGGGCTCCTCATCCTCCTGGACTTAGGGGAAGCTTTTTGTACCCCTTAGGGTCCATGTACCTAAGGGTAGGGTTTAGGGTTTAGGGTTTACTGTAGGGTTTAGGGTTTGGGGTTTAGGGTTTAGGGTTTAGGGTTTAGGGTTTAGGGTTTAGGGCTTGCCCTAAAGGGTCCATGTACCTGAATTTCAAATACGTGGGCGTACAATAATAAGGTACATGGACCTTTAGAGTACTGGCGTTTAAAGCTCCAAGGTTTGCTTCGAGTTCACAGGCGTTTATCAGCACACACACACACACAAGCCCGACAACCCCGACCCTGCAAAACTCAAACTGTCATGGTACCTGCATCCAACTGATGGCTAGAGAGTTTTAAGCCGGCTTCTGAACAAAAAAATAAACAGGAAAAAAGTTGCCTCCACGCAGAATGCTCGCTGCACCGCGCTGGGCAGAGGCGTGGCCAATCGCATGGCGAAGACTTCCAGGCCATGAAGGGTCTTTTTCTTAGTAGCCCAGGAGCTATATATTACAATAAGGGTGCCCTTTTTTGGGGTTGGTTGCTTTTCTAACCATTTTTACAATAAGGGTGCCCTTTTTTGGGGCTTGGTTACTTTTTAAACCATATTACAATAAGGTGGAACCTTGGACTCAAAAAAGGGGAAACCGGTACCACCGATCTACGAAGTTTTTGACTTCCTGATCTTCGAACCTATGCCAGCTCAGGGCTTAGGGCGTAAAGGGCTTCGGGTTTCACGCGTTGAGGGGTTGAGTGGCTATGATGCTCATGGATTGCGGACTTTGGGTATTGGGTTGAAAGGGGGTGGCCACTGACCTTTAGAGTAAGAATGAAAGCCTAAACCCTAAACCCTAAACCCTAAACCCTAAACCCTAAACCCTAAACCCTAAACCCTCCATGGAGATGATCATGTCCATGATCGTCCACGGAGACACCGCTGGACACTGCCGGGGTGCCCGGGAGGTAGGATGGCTTCAGGTAGGAGAGGTCTGAGGCCCGTGACAAGAATGTGGCCACGACTCAACCCTGGGTTGGGTGTTTAGGGTTTAGGGTTTAGGGTTTAGGGTTTAGGGTTTAGGGTTTAGGGCTTAGGGTTTAGGGTTTACCTGTACGGATTGAGGTCTATCAAGAGATTGGAAACCCCAAGCCCAAACCTCCCCAAAAAAAAGATGCCACCCCCTGCCTCCCCTCGCCCGGAACTGCCCCCCCCCCACCCACCCCCCCCACCCCCACCCCCCCCCCCCCCCACCCCCCCCCCCACCCCCCCACCCCCCCCCCACCCCCCCCCCCCCCCCCCCCCCCCCCCCCCCCCCCCCCCCCCACCCCCCCCAACATGCGATTTGAGCCTGAGCCCCCTTAGAGTTCAGGAGTTCAGGTCGAACCCAAGACCTCAACCCCAAACCCTTGGCTCTAGGGTTTAGGGTTTAGGGCTCTTTGAGGTCTGGAGATTCATTGTAGACCACAAGCTCCTTACAACGCCGCAGGGAGCGATCCGGGGGCATGCCTGAACTAGGGAGTTCAGGGTATTACAGGGGTCGGAACACATACTAATGATATATTCCCACATGGTCCCTATGCAATGATACGATAATATCCCGCACAACCCTATTCAAATAGTTAAGGCCCCTACATTCCTGCATGTATTCAAAAAGGGTATGCGGCTCTTTGACACTGCGACTTTGGCGCCCAGGTAATCCCATGCCCAAAAAGCTGAACTCGCCTATGCTTCCCCAGCCTCAGCTACATTGTTTAGGATCCAGCACTGATAGGGCGAAGACAGCAAAACGACAATAAAGCAGCAAAGAAAATGGTTAAAAGAGCTGAAGAAGCCGTCCTGAAGCGCTTGCAAGGATGCCATGCGCGCCTTAACGCAAAAACCCTCACGGAAACAAAGCCCCGATAACAGAGACAAGCACGTCCCCAAAACACCAACCAGTCCCATGCCATGATCCGCAATTCTTCATGACAACCTCGAAAAAACCAGAGACCGTTACAAACCCTTCCCCTAAGGGTCCATGTACCTATAGAGGGCCTTAAAAGGGTTACCATATAGTAGCTTTAGGGCCCAAGTATATACCACATGGGTACATGGACCCTTCTCCTCAACCCTCAACCCTAAACCCTAAACCCTCAACCCTGGAGCCTAAGCCCTCCCCGAAGTGCTAGGGTGCTCGCGACCGTGATGGTGTTCCGTACGGCCACCGTCACCTATCGGGGGTTTAGGGTTTAGGGTTTAGGGTTTAGGGCTTAGGGCTTAGGGTTTAGGGTTTAGGGTTTAGGGTTTAGGCTAAACCCTAAACCTGAAACACGAACTCCGACAAAGCACGAATGAAGCGACCTAGCGGCCAAAGTGTATACCAGCTACATGGAAACTTGGGGTCCTGGTTTTTCGGGTTAGGGTCTTCGACAACTTAGAATCTTAGAATTCGAGAATTTTGTTGTGCATTGTTGTTGTTTTTTTTGCTGGGGGTGGGGGGGGGGGGGTTGTGGGTTAGGAGGTAAGGGATTTCGAGCTTTGGGCTAAGGTTGGGATGTTACCCCTTATACTAACAGTCTAACAGTTCTTAAGAGATGCTATAACTCCTCTTAAGGACTGGGAACATCCCCAGGCTAACGGCTGGAGGTGCGAGGTTTGAGGCTTACAAAGGCTTACGGGGTTTGGTCCGAAGAGGTTTATAGGCTCAAGGTTTCTGCACTTGAGGAGTCTAAAGATTCTCAAGGTCATGAGGTTAACAGGCCTAGGGTTTGGGGAGTTCAGGTTTTTTTCAGGGCTTTTCGGCTTTGTGGTTTGGGGTAAACCGTAAACCTAAACCCAAAACCCTTTGGGGGTCATGTAGATGCGGACTTCTTCATTCATCGGTGGCGACAGCCAAGTGCCCACGAGGGTATGGCCTTCCTCGAGGACCAAATCAGCCCCCCCTAAATATGAATATGGGGGGGGGGGGGCTCAGAAACAGCTCGCCTTAAACCTCGCCTCTGAAGACAACCCAAGGCCGGCCCTCCGAGTTAGGGTTTAGGGTTTAGGGTTTAGGGCTTAGGGCTTAGGGCTTAGGGTTTAGGGTTTAGGGTTTAGGGTTTAGGGTTTAGGGTTTAGGGTTTAGGGTTTAGGGTTTAGGGTTTAGGGTTTAGGGTTTAGGGTACCTGCTCAGCTTGCCGTCGCTTCGCCTCCTGGTAGTGGCACTGTGCTTG